TGTGTGTGTGTGTGTGTGTGTGTGTGTGTATCCACTCAGGCCCTTATTTCCTCATTGTCCCCTGAATGCACATTAACTAACTCTCCTCTGTGCTGTCAGTGTTCTCCCTCACTGATCAGAGGTCAGCGGCATCCACACACTTATACATGACGCATTACCCAAAAGCAATTAGTGTGAAGACACGGTGGACACTCGGTCAATCTGTAACTCTGTGTGTGTCTGTCTGTCTGCATTCCTGACTGTGATGGTTCCCTCATCAATCAGCCAATTACAGTTAGAGACTGATCAATACAATTTCCACACACACACACACACACACAAGCTGAGAGCAGCCGCCATGTTTCTACAGTAGCCCTGAACAGACAAACCAAACACTGACTCTAGATAGAGACATTCATGTGTTCACGTCAGGCCACTGCAGTGAGCAGCTCCTCTGTGGTGACAGCGTTGGAAAAACACTGATTTTTATTTTCTTTTTTTGTTCGTCACTTCCCACACAATAGTCGTGATCAGTGAAAACAGTCATGATGGGGGAAATGTGAGCCAGGCTTAGGAACATTTTGGAGACAGGAAACTGGCGCCGCAGACGGTGAGGTGGAGCCTGACTGTGTCTAATAAATGTTTGGCTTTTGTCCATATGTACATTTTTATTTTTATTTTTTATCACTTATTTTTTATTGATATTTTCTACGTCCACACACATACAAGACATACATAAACAACCCACAATCAAAACAATACAAAATAAGAATAATATTTGTTTGGGAGTTACATCTTCAGCTATTCATCCTTTGTCATAGTGTCTTCATCTTGATCAGCTGGTTCTGTCTGTCGTCTTCGTCGCTGTTTTTGGTTTTGAATAATGTCCATTTCTCCCACTTTTCTTCCAGCTGTGTTTGTTGTAGTCTCAGGCGATGTGTCAGTTTTTCCATTGTGTATATTTCTTTTACTATCCCAATCCACTGATCCTGACAAGGAGGATCCACCTTACCCCACTTCCTCGTAATAGCTTTCTTACTGGCTATCAACAGTATTTTGATCAAATATCTATCCCTTACTCTTATCGTCTCTCTAATAGAATTAAAATTACAGAGATATAGTACCATGTAGCTCATAGGAATATCATACCCCAGTATCTTTTGTATAGTTACGTGCACAATTCTCCAAAACTTCAGTACTTTATGGCATTTCCAAAATATGTGTGAGTGGTCTGCATCCACTACTCCACATTTCCTCCAACATGGCAAGTCTGTGCCCTTATACTTATTCTTGACCTTGGGTGTAATTAATAAATGTATCAAATTTTTCCAGGAAAATTCTCTCCATATCTTCTAATTGGTGGATGTCTGATGAGTTTTCCACATATCTTTCCAATCCTCATCCGATATTTTCGTGTTAAATTCTGATTCCCATTTTTCTTTTATATACTTAGTTGAGTGTTTATTCATCATCAATTTTTGGTATAAGGCAGATATGATTTTGATTTTTTTTCCATTTTAGGAATTTATTATAATTTGAATCACACCATTCTTTTCCATGGAGGGATCCATCCTGATTTCTTTTTTGTAATAGTCTCTTAATTGTAGGTACCTGTAGAACTCATGCTTATCTAAATCATATTTGTCTTTCATGTTCTGGAAACTCTCCAGCTCCCCATCCTTCTGTAAAGTGTACCATGCTGTGACTCCCTTGTTTATCCACCGTTTGAATCCTTTATCATACACTGCTGGTTTAAAATTACTGTCAAATGCTACCCATCTAAGCACATTTGTTTCTGTCTTTATCCTGTACTTTTTTAGTAATCTGAACCATAACTCCAGTGTAAACACTGTAATTGAATCCATATAATTTTTAATCTTCTTGTATGTGTCTTCATCTCCAATAATACTCTGAACTGTGTATTCTCCAAACTCTTGCTCCATGTCTTTCCACTTAGCTGTATAATCTGGTGTGCACCAGCATATAATATGCCTTAACTGGGCAGCATAAAAGTATTCTCTCAGTTTTGGGAGACCCATATCCCCTTTATCTTTTGGTAGCTGGAGAGTTTCATACCTAACTCTAAGTTTTTTGCCTCCCCAAATAAACCTTGATATTATCTTGTCCCAGGTCACAAATTGCGTTTGGGGGACCTCTACTGGCAAGGACTGGAATAAATAAAGAAGTCTTGGCTGTACATTCATTTTGATAGTCTCGATTCTTGAGTTAAGGTCTAGGGGTAAAGTAGACCATCTTTCAATGTCTTTTTGTATCTCTTGACTTATCTTATTATAATTTGCTTTGTAAAGTTTAGATAGTCCTTTAGTGATGGTAACCCCCAGATATTTAATTTTCTTTATATTCCAATTGAAGTGATACGATTCCTGAATCTCTTTTGATGGAATTTGTGTTTTTGAGACATTAATTTTATATCCCGAGTGATAACCGTACTTTTCTAGAAGATTCATCAATACAGGTAGTGATTTATTTGGTTGTTCAAGGAAGGCTACGACGTCATCAGCAAAAAGTCCTATTTTATGTTCCTTGCCATTTACTATAACTCCTTTAATTTCTTCATTTTGCTTTACTGCTTGCGCCAGAGGCTCTATAAAGAGAGCAAATAGGGTAGGTGATAAGCAACATCCTTGCCTAGTTGATCTCTGTATACTGAATTTGTCAGTCAGGTTTCCATTTATGTTGATTCTCGCAGTGGGCTGGTGGTATAATGTCTTTATGCACTGTATTGATTTACTACTGAATCCAAATTGTTTATATAAGAATTCCCAATTTACCAAATCAAATGCTCATACGTACATTTTTAGGATTAATCCTACGCACTGTTTCATAAATGAGACCCCAGATATTTGTGTTCTTGTTGAACAGAGAAACATGATGAGTGGAGATCTGATACTCTGGTTCAACCATGGTGAAGGTTAATGAGGGGCATTGTGGGATACGTCTCTGGCAGACGGGGTGACATCATGGAGGCGGGGTTTGGATTGTGGGGGTGTGGCGGCTCATTAAGAGTTAATGTCAGGTTAATGTGCTCTGTTGGAGTGTGTTGTGGTCTGAGTCTGTGCTGTTAATGTTACACCTACACCTGACTGACAGCTGCTGGCTCCGCCCACCTCTCACCATCTATGATGGACCCAGAATCCTCTGGTTCTGACCTCTGACCTCCCCCTCACCTCCTCTCTGCAGACAGCTCCAGAGTTGGGATCAACCGTTGTGTTTTCAGGGATAATATCAGTCCTGGTTATTGATCAATGAGAGGAAGGAGGAAATAGAGGCGGAGTTACAGCTGCCAGGTGAGACACCTCACAGGTTACACACACACACACCACAGTATATGGTGCCCACAAAACTTTAGGTTATTTTCAGACATTTTAAAATATTTTTCAGATATTCTATCAACATTTTTTCTAACATTTAAATATTATTTTCAGAATATTTCAAGAGCATTTTTCAGACATTTTAATAATTTTTTGGAACATTTTATGAACATTTTTTGGACATTTTAACTTTTTTTCCCCCGAAAATATAAATGTATGTTTTAAAACTTTTAAAAACATTTTTCGTACATTTTTTAAAACATTTTTTTCAGACATTTTATTAATATTTTTTCTGATGTTTTATCAACATGTTCTTAGACATTTTATAAACACTTTTTGGACATTTCAATAAAATTTCACTGACATTTTATCTACAATTTTGTGTCCATCTTTTAAAACATTTTTTTGGACAATTTAATAATATTTTTCTACATTATGTCAACATTTTTTCTCTCTGAAGGACCTGACTTGAAGGACCTGTCCTACCAAGGAAGCATCCTTGAATTTGAGAAGCTGCTAGTTGGTGTTGGGGTTTCTATGCCGCTGTGTTGTTTTTGTGAAGTACAGTGAAGTTTGATTGATTTAATTAACTTAAAACACACATATGAAACATGGCATAAAACATTAAATAAAAATATAACATTTTGCCCTTAAAATACAACATGCTAACAGTCTTAGCATGAGTCTACTTCAATTCCAATTGTATAAATTAGCCTAGCAGCTATCAGACTTTTCCTCTGCTCATATTTCAGCCAGGATAAATCACACACAGGACGTAAAATGTGACTGAGGGCTTTATGTCTTCACAATTTAGTGTTTCTTATCTGTAAAATTAAAGTAAATCAAAGCTTTGTTTCCATTGAGGGAAATGGTTTCAGCTTACAAAAATTAGCGGGAGGTCTGCGTCGCCGCAAGGTAGGTGGGGAGGTGCACATCTACGGCGTCTACGTGTCTACACAGAGCCGTAGGTACGGTGTCAAAGCAGAAGTTTAAATCCTGCTTTAGTGGGATCAGTTTATTGTTGGCTTGGGTCTTTTTATGCTTTTGCACCATCATTAGAGGTTTTTATGTTTTCAGTTGAACGCCGTATCTCAAGAACGCCTTGAGGGAGTTTCCTCAAACTCGGCACAAACGTCCACTTGGACATAAGGAGGAGAGGAAGTACAAGTATTTCTGTGACTGCAGGTGACTCTGAAACCTGAGCTCCGCCTTCCTTCAGGAAACTGTGGAGGAAAAGCTGAAACAAGTGGCTCTCTCTGGGAGAGGAGCGGCCTCATTATCTGATGTGTTTGAGGTGAGCCAAGCTGTTGGTTTCTGCGAGAACACGGCGATGAGGCCGTTCCCCCGATCAGCCGGGGCGGATAGAGTTTCAGCCGGCCGGCCTCCTTAATGACCCCTTTCCCTGGCCGACACTCAGCCCGCCGACAACAACAGAGCCTGTGATCCGGAGCGGCCCTCCTTTCACATTCCTGCCAGACTCCGGGACCTCCCTGCCCTGAAAGAGCCTCCAATCTGTCGGACATCTGCAGCCGGTCTTACCTTGTCATTAGAGATAGACCACTCGCTCGGCCCGCCTCGGACACAGCTCGCTCCCAACTTTCCCTCGGTCCCGGCTCGCTCTCAGGGGACCCGGGGCAGGGCCGGGACCCTGTGTTGGGAACCCCCAGGGAGAAGAAACCCCACCATCTCTACCTGTGGGGGGCGGATCAGGGTGGAGGAGGAGGTGGAGAGGGGCGTCTCCAGGGAGCCGCTGGCCTCCTTTTGTTCCTGAGAAGAGAGGGAGCTGAGGGCGAGGAGGAGGATGGTCAGACTGGTTTAACTGGTAACTGAGCTGAAGACTGGAACGAACAAGTCCCGATTTACCCAGGTGACCCTGAACGTGACACGTGTGACATGTTGAAGAGAAACAGACCCGAACGAAATGTCACTTAAATAAAGATCATATCTGTTTTCAAAGGCTCAGGATACACAGCTGCGGCCAAAAGTATGTGGACAGCCTCTTCCTGTCCTCGTACGTTAGTGTACTTTCAGTCTGTGTCTGTCCAAATGAAGGGGAATTTTAACAGCATGCAATATTTTACACCAGTGGCTCCCGTCATGGGGATCAGGGTCTCCTCGAGGGGTCACAATATAAATCTGACGCATCATGAGATGGTTAACTTCCTCCTCTGGACTCCCTGTAAATTACCAGATAGTTTTATCTCTTCGGTTCTTTTTAAATAATGTCACATGCAGTAAGACATGTGGATATGCTGATGCATGCTTTCCTGTTTGCAGTCAGTTCTGTGAACTCGTCAACAGTTTTTAAGGCTGGGGTAAAGATGCACGGCCAAAGGAAAAGCCCACAGAGTCCAAATCTGAGGTCCTTCTTTAGGTCCACCAAACCTGACCTCTGACCTAAGAAAGAACGTTGGGAACCTGTCCTCCGATGTAAAGCACTCTGCGTCATCTTTGACTCTGAGCGCTGTTTCAACCCTCAAATAACCAAAGTCGTGCGATGGTGCTTCCTTCAAACTGGAAACATTACAAAGGTAAAACATTTTTTGTCTCAAGAGGACCTTGAAGGAGTCGTCCATGTTTTCATCTCGTCACGATCACTGTAGCTTCCTGTGTTCAGGGCTCAGCCCAGGAGCCATTTCCTGTCTCCAGCTCGTTCAAAACTCAGCTGCCAGACTTTTAACTGACTCCAAGAGACACGACCACCTCACTCCCACCCTGCAACGCTACACTGGCTACCTGTTAGGGTTAGAAGTGATTTTGAACTTTAACTAATAACTTTTAAAGCCCTCCATGACCTCGCTCCTACACACATCATACATTTACTTCCACCCTGTGAGCCCAGCTGCTGCCTGCGCTCCTCAGGTACGACCCTCCTCTCTGTCCCCTCAGCCAAACTAGAATTACTACCTCACAGTCTTATGCCTTCACAAGCCAGTCAAGTTGCAGTTACAGTTTATATCTGTGTCCGTCCAGACTCATATGAAGCCGTCAGAGAAGCTACATGTTTTAACACATGGATGCTTCACACACAGAAGATCTATACAATCAGCACAGTTTCAAGATTAGAGTCACCAATTCAGTATCTGACCAAATGTCTCCCCTTCTGTTCCTGAGATATGACGTTAGAACATGATGATGTCACAGTCATGCTGACCTTTGACCTTCTGGATATAAAATGTCATCACTTCATTATTCTATCCTATCCACCTTATTTTCAAACACGGAAGTAAATAATGATCAACTTCCGTTGTTTTTGTGCGTGACTTCCGGTCAGCCGCTTTCCCTCATGCTTTCCCTTACCGGAGCTAACGGTGCAAGCTAATTTTTTTTTCAATTTTCAGTTGTTTATGTTAGTCAATCAGTTAGTTAGTTAGTTAGTTAGTTAGTCTGTGTATTTTGTATAGATAACTGTGCCCCTCTAAACGCGAATAAATCGCACGTCAATCATAAACTATGAACCAAAAAAGCACAATCTATCCCGAGTGAGACAAACTGCTTGATCCCCGTCTCCAGTGTACCAGCAGAGAACCTGCAGAACCGAATCAGTGAAAAAACACATCGGGCTACACAGCCTCTCTACCTGAGCAGCTGAAGCTGCGGCTCACACCCTCGACACACAGACACACAGACGGTGCTTCTGCATGCCAGCCACACGTGTGCTCATCTGTGAGAAATAAATATGTGAGGTGTACGCTGCTTTTCTGTCTTTTTTTCCCTTTTCTTTCTTTCTTTCTGTCAGCGACATACACTCCTAACACAGGACGGGTTGTTTTAATTGACTGAGTTGATCATTAAGCCATAGTGATGCGCGGATCGGCTCTGATAGCACCTGAATCAGCATGTACACATCAACCATCCAGCCGTTACAACATGATTGAGCTAGCAAAGCAGTTTTGTGTTGCTATGTGTGGTATTTATTCAGTTTTGGGAAATCACGATGTCTAGAAAGCATCAGTGGCTGCAGCTGACAGGGACAGCTAACGTTAACACTAGCAGCAAAGCTAACATCAGGACGTCATCTGTTAAAAGCCTCCCGTTGTCGGATACGACATGAAACTACTCCAATTAGCTCAATCATGTTGTAACTAAGACATCCGCTGGAGAAAATATTTTTTTCACGGGCCACTTTGTGAGTTAAGTGAGTTATTACAGACACGGCTAACGGCTAACAGCTAACGGTTAGCCCAGCTAATCTACGATAACCATGTTATTAATTATACACAGAGAAAATACTAATGTTTGTTCAGTCATTGTGTTTATAGACTTTACAAACATCAGATTAGTCTAAACGGTGATATAGTGACGTGAAAAATGTGATATATACATATATATAGCTAAACTCAGCAAGGTAAACAACAAGGCGATTCCCATTTACACAGTGGTAAGAGTGCTGGACCGGAAGTGTCGCACAAAAAAACGGAAGCTGGCTGCGTTCTGTTTTGCCTCCGTGTTTCCGTGAAAAATAAGGTGGATAGTGTACAAATTCTTGAGTTATGGCCCAAAACATGGTTATTGAGATCACAGTGATGTTTGTAATCAATTTGTCACTGAATCCAAGTGGACGTTTGTGCCAAATTTAAAAACAAAAAAAAAAAAAAAAAATATCCTTCAAGGCCTTCTTGAGATATCACATTCATGCATCACAGATGGACACAAGGTCACAGTGGCCTTGACCTTTGACCATTGTTGAGTCCATGTGGACGTTTTTCCAAATTTGAGGAAATTCCCTCGAGGTGTTCTTGAGATATTGCTTGATACTATCAAATCAGTTCACCCTTGAGTCCACGTGGACATTTGTGCCAAATTCAAAGAAGACATTCTTGAGATACAAGCCATGACGACAATAAACCATTCCACTTTTCCATATTTTGAAGTGATAAACGACATGTTGGGACACATTAATCAGAGTATGCACGAGTGCTCGTAAATGGGAATAAGTGAAACATTCATTTTCATTTTTCATGTAAACAGCTCAGTAGGAATGTCGTCTTTTACAAAACGGGCAAAACTAGCCATTGCTTTATGTTCTGGACTCACAGGCCAAGACATTTGGGATATGTGTCCACATGTGGCCAGGTGTTGTAGTTTATTAACCGACTGTCACTTGGATATTATCTGCTGGTAGCTTCATCTCTCCAACACTATGAACCTTATTTAAGAGTCAAACTCCATATTGTTGTGATTATATTTACCTGCATGGATTTCACAATAAAACTCTGAATATGGTCAAATATCACAGTTGTAGCCTTTAAGGTGATAATACTGTAATTTATTGTGAAATGTTACAGTTACATATTGTAACTGTATGGAAATAATTTGCAGTGTAACGTAGAAAATGATGCAGGGGTGAAGTCAGTGTGGTGATGCCCTCCTCCAGGAGTTAGAGCGTGATTGGATGTTCAGTTTGATGAATGAATGAATGATGAGAATAATCCAGGTAAGGGTTATTGTCTATAACAAAGCTAATATTATGCTTCTGTTGCTTAATAAAATCTGTCCAAACCAGATATGTTTTATTATATGTACAATACTGTATCTGCAGGTCTGCCTCTGATTGGTTAAAGCGGTCAGGTGACACTTTAGTTTAGCTAACAGCAGCTAACGGGGCTTCTACGTGGTGTGATCTCGTCCCAAAGAAAAGCTTTGAAACCACTGAAAATCACAGGCCGAGATCAATAGTGAACTCAGACATGAAAAGAGACACGTTAACGTTTGTAACCCCAAAATATATTTGTCAAAAGCACATTAGTAACACGTACAGGTCATTTTATGAGAGAAGGTGAGGATTGTAAAACAAACAGAGACGACTCAGACGTGTCCGTGTGTTTTCTGTTAGTCGACAGTTTACAGTCAGTTACAGTTTCCTCATTACATTCTGCACACGTTCATGTACAAACATTACAGCACACAAACATCCTGTTAGACATTTAAAAGCTCATGAAACATGAAGACTTTGACACAGTCTTCACGTTCCCTTTGAATGTGTCTCCGTTGCTTCTGAATTTTTATCATTGCTTTCGGCAGCAGTCACACCAGCAATTTTCTGCACCGAATTCAACAGCAAAAAAATTTAATCTTAAAGTTTGTAACGTGGCAAAGACATTTAACATGTAGGCACATGTCACCTTCAGGTGTTTTACACATTTTTACAAATTATAAGAAGCACATTTTACATGTTAGTCCTGTGTTAAACATCCTCAGTTGTAAAGATGTCACGCATACATACGGGCAATAACTCAGACGTTCACGACATAGACACGTTATTTTCAGATATGTGACGTTAAATACACAGCACATGTAAAAAAAAAACAATTCCACATTGTAATAAAGGTGAAGCTTTACACATAGGAATAATCCACATTTAGGCACATGTGGTTTTTACATCATTTCCTGTGATGAAATAAAATATGTACACAAGTAATGTTTTCAGCTCATATGATGAAGACGTGGTTTTCAGATTTAACGTGATTTTTTTAAAGGGCATATTAAAAATGTTGTTTTTTTATGCAAACCATCCCGGATTTTAAATCACCCAGATCTGATGTATGTAAGATGAAACATCTGAAATCACCTGAACGTCTCCAACACAAACAAACAATCGAGCCGTCAGCTGTGTTGTATGGAGAGAGCTTTACGGAGCAAGTCCAGTAAATGTGTGGCTGATATGACGAACGAACAAGTAATAGAACCACTAAAATAAATAATCTGTAAATCTGATGACCTTTAGATAAGCTTTGATAAGACGCTTAAGAGGACGGTTGACGGTTTGGAGAAATCATTGGACAAGGTCATGCAGGGGAGCCAGAGGGTGCTCATGACAGAAATGAAGAGATGTTGAAAAGAAATGAAAGACGGGCCAGCTACAAGCGCGCCTGGAGACTCTGGAGGAAAATATAACGATTTGATCATGTGGTGTCACTGATAATATGTGGCCTATGGTGTTCAGTTCATGAAGTGCAATTTCCAAAAACCACGTCTTTGTGTAAAATGTGATATTACATCATCAGCGTCTCTGAAGAATGCATCGTCACGGAACGTGAAACGCTGATGTTTCTGAGATACTTTCTTTCTCAGTACGGTGACGACATGAAGTCTTACGTTTAACGTTGAATATCTGAAAACCACAGATGCAAGTACATGAATGAATCACATGTGAAATTGTGTTTTGCAGTTATAAAAAAAAATCAGGTGTTTTTGTTAGCATACTCTTTCAGCTACTGTTGTGTTTGAATGCTAACGTCAGCTAACGTTTGGTAAAATGAAAACTAGAGTGCAAAACCTTGTGGTGTTGGTCACAGATTCAGTCGATGCTTAACTTGTGTTCAGAAGTGCTTTCTGTTACGCTGGTCAGATGGTGTACAAGCTGCCGGCTGGAGCGTTTACAGAAGTTAATTTACAGTAATATCATTTAGGTTTTGTACTAATTTGTACCAGTTTGCTGGTGGTGTGAAAACGGGTCCATGTCATTGGTTCGACATCCCATTAGTCCGACTGTCCGCGGTGCTGATCGGCTCGCGGCGGGTTCATGGTGCGCCGTGACCGGCTTGAGGCTGAGCAGGCTCACGGCTTATGTGTTTGTCACTTTCTTTTTCATTTTAACCCACACCATGATCTTTTCCTGACCCTAACCAAGTGGTTTTTGTGCCTAAACCTAACCAGACCTTAACCACAGGGCATCATGATGATTTTGGAACGGACTTCGGAACAATGAGTTTAATATGGTCGGAACAATGGGATGTCGAACCAATGGGCTGTCGAACCAATGGGCAGTTCCCTTGAAAACAGGGTTGGCAACGACGGCAGTGACTTCTTTCAGAAATTCTGCTTTGTTTTTGACAATCAAATAATATGTCCACAAGGGTCCGCTTTGGTCTGTGTGACGTAAATGTCATGACCCGTCCAGGCCCGTGAGCATCTGCACAGACTCCTATGCAGTGCAGTCCGTTTTTTGTAACTACACGGACTGTACGCAGATCGAGACTACACATGCTTCAAGTACAAAACCCAGCGTTGTCTTCTTAGTTGTAGTTTCACTGGACGTTGGCAGTAGGAGGACGTGAGCTCACATCCTGGCCCGCCCTTTGTTTGCTGGAGGCTGACGAGGACCTTCAGCTGTACTTTGGATGAAACAGCACAGACGTCACAGTAACCGCACTTTAAGTGTGGAAAATACGTCCGCGCTTTAAACATCAAAGTTTTTAGCACTTACTTTAAGCTAACATGTAATCTCTAATCACTTTTCTGTATCTGCTAAAATCAGTGCAGTTTCTGTCTTTAGTTCGGAGGCAGTTTGCTTCGTGGCACCATTTTGTTTTCTTCCAGTCTTTGCATTTGTTTATTAATAGTGTAACAAGGGACACAATGTGGCGCAAGGGACATTGCTGACCTTTTTACGTGGCAGTTTCACACATGAACTGAATAAAAACTTCAACATTTACAAAACAGTTTAGGCAGTCCTACGGCTACATGACTAAAATGTAAAATGCTGCGTAGCGCCCACAGTTTGGCTCTAGATGTAAATCCTAAAACAAGCTGGTTAGCCTCATCGTACCTCAGTTTAACAATTCATCATTAGCATTTTCATGTCCTTTTGTATTCTGAACTTTCGCAGTGATGAAAGAAAAAAGCAACACTGCTCTTTTATTAATGTCACGATCATCAGGTTTGACTGGTCTTTTGTGCAAAACCGTATCATAATAAAGTCTTTGAGGGGAGTTCAAGAACTGCATGTTTGTATTAAGTGTCCGTGCTGCCTGCATTGTCTTGTATAAACAGAACCTCTTTGAGGGTCCAGGACAAACAAGACGTCAACAAGTTCAACATGGAGTCCTGAAAGCTGGCCTGGGACACTTGTTCAGGTACCAACGACATGTAATGTGGAGCTTTCTGAGCTGCCTATGGTCCTTGTTTGGGCACCCAGGTGAACTTCCACCTTCCTTCAGTGTCCTTTCTGACAAAGGCTTGTCCATGAGGGAAGCTGTGGGTCTTGACACTGTTGGACGGGCTGAGGGACATACTGAACGCCAAATCCGTCCGGCTGTGAGGTGTCTCAGGCGTGGCAGGAGGCTGAGATCCCACTGACGGACTCGTTGGGCTGCTGCCGCAGACAGGTGTCCGCACCTGGGTCATGGCAGGACTTGAAGACGAAATGGGAGAGAAATGGAGTCTTCCCCCTGGTGGACTGAACTGGATCGTGTCCTGTGATGGTGTCCGGCTGCTTCTCAGTGGAGACCAGTAAGCCGGATGTTTCGCTGGGTTTCCCTCCAGAGTTTGGACTCGACTTGAGGCAGTGATGGAGCAGATCTCTGCTCTGACTGGTGACTGGGTTAAAGGTAGTTCCTCTGTAGGTGCTGGAGATTGGAAGGCAGTTACTGTGTCGTAGCTCCTGATCACTGCTTCAGGAGCTTCGTACAGTCCGGTCAGTCCGGTGGCAGTGAAGTCAGAGCGTTGACTCTGAGATGTTGTGCAGTTCTGAGGTGAGTTGGCAGCATTACCACAGTTTACTTCTTGGCATTCGGCAGCACTGTAGCTATAATCAGCTCGCTGTGTGGGTCTTTGGCAGTAGCTGTGGACAGAAGAAGGCGTAGAAGTGGCGACTGAAGGGCTGAAAGAGGAGTTGAGGGTGTATTCAGAGGATGAGGAAGACGTGATTGCTTCATCATACACTAAACTGCTGAAGCTGTATCCAGACGAGGAGGAGGAGTCGTTGGATGTATCGATGGTGTCTCTGTCCTTCAGTCCCAACGTTCGTAGAACCCAGAGGTCCAGGTTTGGTTCTGAGGAGGAGGATGTCTCGGAGGACTCGCAGCTGAACTCGGCAGTGAGGTTCCTGCAGACTCTCTTGCTGACCTGCTGGGAGGTTCGGAGCTGATGACTGCCGGACTGGAACGATCCGTCATCAGTGTGCTTCAGGTTTCTTTTCAGCTTCCTCCTCCCGTCACAGGTCAGTTTCTACGAATGGAACAAGGACAGAGGAAGAAGACAGATTTACACTTTTCTGTTTTTGTCAAACTTATATCACCCTCGTTATGTTCAGAAGACCAACTGTGAGCTGCACAGAGGTTTATTTTTGAATATAATATGGACTGAGTCTGAGTTTATGGTGACAGTAAACGGACCTTTGCCTTTTGCTCCAGGTTCCTCACAAACGAAGAGTTGAGGAACTCTCTGAGTTTGTTGTTCTCGTCCTGCAGTCTGGCCAGTTCCTCCTCTCTCTGCAGCAGAGTGTCCTGAAGCTGGAAGAGGGTTCAAACATATTGATGCTTAAGTCAAAAACTTTTGCTCTGGAAATAAAAAATGTGACTGTACAAGTCACAAAAGTTGATTTCACTTTGAACTCCTCTGTTTTAGCCTCATACCTGTTTGTTTCTCTGGAGGTGAGGGGAGAGCTGCTCAGACCACATCAGACCAGCAGGGGGCGAGCTGTTGTAAACACACTGAGACTCTGACAGAGAGACAGACAGACAGACAGACAGTATATTGTTACTTACATGTCTTGCTTTTGTCTCCTTACGAACGCAGATGTTAAAGACTTTCTGTTTGGATGGTGCAACAATCACAACTGAGTCAGTCAGGACAAAATCACCCTGATATCTCTGAAAACTTTCTCAAAATCAGGATGAACAGTAAGAGACATTTAATAAGCAGTGAAGTGTGTCACTTCAGCAGCATCACAATAAAGGTTCAGCATGTTACCTGCTTTATGTCAAAGTACATACGGACCTGTTTGAGCAGCCCAGACACCATGTTCTTTTAGCCTGTGGTAATCTTTGTAATTGTTGTGTATTTTGATGTCTTTAGATTATTGGACTCATTATTTGGTGTCCCTCGCATCATATGTTGTTTTTAAGCTTATCTTTTATTTATATAATGTTTCATCTGCTCGAGTGCTTTAACTTACAGGATCATTTCCTCAACATTTTGTTTTGATGGCAGTAAGTATCTTTAAGTATAAATATTCAGGTAAAGTAAAGTGTCTCCAGATGTCTGATTAAAGAACCACAGTTAATGTACTGCTACCTCTCCCCACTCTGACTGAGCTGCAGAGAGTACGACCTGTTTAATATGCGCATCAGTGCAGTCAGAGTTGTTTGGGAGCATCTAGTGGACACCAGAGGAACTGCAGCTTGATTTTCAGCTGCAGCTCAGCCGTTCAGGAGAAACTCCCTCAGATTACATCTCAGATCGATGATGAATTGAACTCTCTGAGCGAGGAGACGTGGAGAAAATTAAAAGATGAATCTTAATATAAACTGTTCCGGATATTTCCATCAGGACGGATCCGCTCACGTGGAACCTGCCGGAGCGTTTGGTTACCCAGAGTTCACAGGGAAACCTGGGGAACTCTTGTGTTTGATGAATGAGCCGCCGCCGTGCAGAGTCCCACTCTGCTGAATGTGGCATTTAGAGAGAAGTAGAAACATCCCTCAGTCAGCAAAGTGAAGCTGCGTTCAGAGACACAACTCTGAGCGGGTGGATGATAGTTCACTGCAACTGTTGTTAAAGTCTGTAATGTAGGTTTGTTCCTCCTCACATACTGAAGCAGCTGCTGCCTCGTAGAATTAAATGAGTCTTACTGTTATCCTGAAGTTATTAAAGGAATAATTCCACATTTTGGGAGACACCCTCATTACATACAAGATGTTCAGATTGAAAACACTCACATAAGCCCAGTCGCCAGAAGAAAAGATGAGTGTTTCTGCAAATCATGTTTGCCTCTTCTTCCTCTACAGCAGCTTTTAGCCCACCAATGTGTTTTTTAGCGGCTCATACTGTTTTTCAAGCAACTTTTTAGCCCCCAAACTTGAGTGTCCTTCAGCGGCTCATGGCTTTGTTTCCAGTGCCCCCAAATGTGTTTCTTAGTGACATGTGGCTGTTTTTCCAGCAGCTTTTCTAGTTTTTTTTTTCACCCCCAAATCATGGGTGTTTTTTAGCAACCAATGGCTGTTTTTCTAGCATTCTTTAGCCTTCAAAGTTACGTGTTTTTAGCGACCTGTAGCTGTTTTTCCAGCACTTTTTAGCCCCAAATCATGGGTGTTTTTTAGCCACCACTGGCTGTTTTTCCATTGCTTATTAGCCCTCAAACTTGAATGTTTCTTAGCGACTAGTAGCTGTTTTTCCAGCAGCTTTTTAGCCCCTAAATTTAAGTGTTTTGTAGCAACCCATGGCTGCTTTCCTACATTTTTTACTACCCAAACTTGAGTGTTTCTTAGTGACCAGGGCTGTTTTTTTAATCTCAGATATGGGTGTTTTGTAGCGACCATGGCTGTTGTTGCTTTTTAGCCTTCAAACTTGAGTGTTTCTCAGCGACTAGTAACTGTTTTTCCAGCAGCTTTTTAGCACTTGAATGTGTTTTTGGCGACCTGTAGCTGTTTTCCGGCAGCTTTTTAGCCCCTAATCATGGGTGCTTTTCCAGTGCTTCTTGCCCTCAAACTTTAGTGTTTTTTAGCGACTCATAGCTGTTTTTCCAGCAGCTTTTTACCCTCTCAGCATGAGTGTTTCTTAGCGACCCATGTTTGATTTTCAATGGCCTTTTAGCCTCTAAATAATGGGTGTTTTTAGCCACCACTTGAGTATTTCTTGGGGATCTGTAGCCGTTTTTCCAGTCGCACAAAAAGCAGCTGTTTCTTTACTTAAATACTGCTGTCTTTCCAGCAGGGATTGTGCCCCCGAAACCAGGTATTTTGAGCCAAAACTTGATCTTTTCTGAACCATAACCAACTGTTTTCGAACCTAACCACACAGTAACCACAGCACTGTTGAAACATAAAGAAATGCAAAGTTTCAATACATCTGGTATAATAACATGCAAATGTTACATATTTGTGGTTTGCAGGGACGTGCAGTGCCAACAATTTTTCTGATGACTAGGCGCTGTTTTACTTCTGTTTACTTCTTAACTTTCTGTTTTTACACCTCAGTATTTGCACATTGTGAACTAATGAGATGTCTCATGTTAATCAGTGAGCTTTACAGGTCGATGTTCTGATGACTAGGCGGAGCCAGGCTAGCTGTTTCCAGTCTGAACATTTGAGGGCTCATTTATATTCCCTCTGAAAATAGATCCGTTCATTTCAAATGGTGGAAACATCGCTGCATCCTTGACATACGTACATCCACTAGATGGCACTAGAGTCAGAAGTTTCTATGTATCTTCTATTATATTACCAATTTGTGACTCAGCTGTTTCTGAAATGTCTTTGTCGTGTCCTATAGTTGAGTCTTGCTTGAGTTACGCTACGCTAGCTACTCTGCTTCGTCTGTAAACCTTCAGAAAATGTGCACAAATTCACACAAAATGAACGCAGAGTACGAACAGAAGGCTCCGTCTGTGTCAGTATCTAACGTTGAGCATAAATGAGCCTGAACTCTGAGAGATTAAGAGAAGAGGAGAGGAGAGGAGAGGAGAGGAGAGGAGAGGAGAGGAGAGGAGGATTTGACCAGATATCAAACTATCACTTTGAATACATCGGTGGAAAGTAACTAACTACTTTCACTCAAGTGAAGCTTAAAGGAACTTTTACTTGTGTACTTTCATTTTATTCAGCTTTATACTTTTATTTCACGACATCTCAGAGGGAAAAGTTCTTTTCACTGCTCTGAAGTTAAAGTTCACATTAAGATTTTACTGACAGATCAAAATAAGATTATAACATATTCTGTTTTTCTCTTGATTTAGCTGCTCGACAACAGAACATGACGGAGGTTAGATTTTCTCCTGAAACACTGCGTACACGTTCATGCATCAGTAATAATGATCCATTTGTATAAATTATGTTAAAGTACTTTTACTTTTGATACTTTAGGTTTCTCTTGCTTAACATCAGCAGACTCACCCCAAACGGATGACTTCTCTCCGAGGTCGCTGAGGTCACAGGGGTCATGGACCCAAACGGAGGCCAGGGTTTCCATGGAAACGTCAACAGTGTCAGGGCCAAGGGCCAAGTCCTGGAGCATGAGGTGATGATGATGATGATGAGGAGGAGGAGGAGGAGGAGGAGAGGGATTCCCTACAGAGAGAGTTTGTGTGTGAATGAAGGGAAGGGAGGGTGTGTGTGTGTGTGTGTGTGTGTGTGTGTGTGTGTGTGTGTGCACTCAGCAGTGCCAGCTGACTGTGTGTTGATATGGTGATGATCAACACTTCAGTTACTTTTACATTTTCAGACAAAAAAACCCTCCTCTCAGTTTCTCTCAAACTTTTAACAGAGAGAAATAAAACACGTCACTACGTGGCCAAAAGTATGTGGACACCCTGATATGAGCCCTGTATCAGACAGCAACAGCATGTTTGTTAATGTGCTGCTGTAACAGTTGAGTTCTTCCGCACCAAAACACATTTTCTTGATGGAGCTGTCTCGGTGCAAAGCTGCTGTAAAATCCAACTGTGTGCTGAAGCATTTAAACGTCTCTTCAGTGGAACTGAGGAACTGTTTGTTAGTTATCAGAGGAGACGCAAAATCATTTGTTAAACACTGAGGAGACATTCAACCTCAAATGGTCGTATTTTGTATTTATTTTAAATCCGAGAACCTGCAGGAGGGTTTGAAAGGTGTGTTTGTTTCTTTGTTTGTTTGTTTGCATGAACCAGATCCTGAAAATAACGTCAGGCTAAAATTCTGAATGCATTCTGTCATTAAGGTTTTTGTGTTTTCAACTTTTAACTCCTGATCCTTAAAGCTGAAGTTTTTACGCCTCAGCGCCGACATCACATCCTCACTGTGACCTCGTCACATGTCCACGTTTGGTCATGGACTTTCCACGTCCACATATGACGTCCAAGGTACCCTGGGTGTGTTGGTTGTTGACGTTCTGGGACGCCGTGTCAACTTCAGCCTGTTACATGCATTGTCTGTTTTCAAAATACACTTCTGTTTTCACAGGAAATGTACAGTTTGCATACAGTCTCTTTCAAAATATAAGCACTACGTCGGTACAACACTGTGAATTGATGTTTTTTTCCTTCAACAACACAAACATGGTTACGTTTAGTATTATCTACATGTGGTGTGGATATATAGTTGTTTATGGTGGAGGGAGCGTCATACGTTGTGTCCCTGTCACTAAAGGGGCTCAAGGAAATTATTTGTAGCTCTGGGGTTCAAGATTTAAAAAAAATAAATTAATTGAATTAAAAAGAAAAGTCCCCCCCCCCCTCCTCTGATAAATAAAGAACAGTCCCTCAGAAACCCAAACCAGGAACAACAGACAGTGTCCACAAACTTTTGACCACATCAATCCAACAGACCGTCACAGATACGTCACTAAAAACTCACTGCAAGTCCCTGAAGTAACATAAATAAGAACTAAATAAATAAAATTATAAAACAACGAATAAAATCAGTAAAAAGCTGCAGCTGATCATTTTTATAAATTAGATATTTTACATATTAAATTACAGATAAAATAATAAATATATATTTATGTGGATTCATCAGAAAAATAAAATGAAAACTTGAATATTGAATTGAAATAATAACATTTCTTTATTTTAGGACGCATCTGTAACTTTATTCTCGTGTGCATACATTCTGTGGATTAACGGGTTAATAATGAAATGTCCGCTGTCACTTCTTCTGTTCACGTCCTGCTCATCACGCATTTTACAGCTATACAGAAAGCCGCATTTCTTTCCCTAAACTTCTCTTCACACGTGGATGAACATAAATGTATTATTTTATCTTTGACCGCAGGACGCTGCTCCACCTCTGCGCTCCTCTCTCCACCTGTTGCGTCTCACCTGTCTCCATCCAAACACCCCTCCAAACATCACACTGACCCAGACTGCACTCCGTCACCAAACTGCCCGCGTGCACATCAATCTTTTATTAAATCTATTATTAACTGAGACATGAACTCACCGAGGACGCGCCGAAATGTTCCACGGATCCGTTTTTATTCTGCACGTGCTGCGTCAGGCTGTGCGTAAATGCGCGCTGCAGAAGTTCAGAAAAATAAGCGCGTGGAAAAATGAAATTTAAAAATACAAAAAAAAAGTTTAAGGCAAGTTTTGTTTATTGCGCGTGAAATCTGAAAGAACCCGGATTATTAATAAAATCCTGAGTTAGACTGAGGAGAGGTGAGAGCTCCTGAAGTTCCGCTGAGGACTCAGCTCCGACTGAAGCCGAGAGACACACACACATATATATATTTGTGTGTGTGTGTGTGTGTGTGTGTGAGAGAGAGAGAGATGACAGATCGGTCTGTCCAATCAGCTCGTTGGACGGAGCTCGTGACGCTGCCTCAGTCTGAGCTGCAGCAGAATAAAAGCCGAAGGTGTGAGGTCACTGTCAGGTAGGAGAACCGGAGCTGGACCAGTCAGAGATGACTTCCGGTACTGTAGGTGTGTGTGTAGGAAAAAATAAAATAAAATAAAGTCATGTCTGGTAAATTTCCCCAGAAATAATGACTTAATTGAGCATCTTTAGTGTCACCAGCACACACACACACACACACACACACCTGATTGTCTGCTGAGTTAAAGTGTAATCTGACAGCAGGTCAGTTAAACTGCAGCAATAATTAGGAATCTAATTCACAAACTGACATACCAACAAGGTGACTGATTAACAGAGGAGAGGAGGAAACGAGGAGAGGAGGGAGGAGATGAGAAAGGGGAGAAAGGAAAATGAGAGGTAAGGAGAGGAGACAAGAGAAGGAGACAAGAGAAGGAGAGAAGAGGATAATAAGGAGATGAAAGCAGGAGAGTGCTGTAGATAAACTCTGATTTAACAAAGTCTGACTCTAAGGAGATGATCTGGATCAGCTGTCAGGAAAATAAACATCCCATAATATGTAACAAACACTGATCTCTCCTCCAGACCAGAGGTCAAAGGTCAGTGGTGACATTTGCAGACGTTTCTTCAGCTCCGGCTGAGACACAGATCTGTTCCCTCCCTCACGACCATTAAATGTGACTTTGCCCATCAGCCTTTGTGGCTGGTTAAGTGGTCGTGCAGGAGGTTAATCACCTCCGCCAGCCGCTCCGCCGCACGTCAAATAGCAGCAGAGCGAACGTAGCAGCAGCCGTATGTGGCGTCTGCAGGACAGGGGAGGTGATCGGGAGGTTTGAATCCTGGGAGCAGCAGAGATGATGTCAACTGCTACTGTGGCACCGTCCGCCTCACATATATGTGTCAGACCCTTACGGTAAACATAAAATGTCTTAACATGTCAAATGTGCGTTGAGACGTCAGAAAGCGGCCTGTTAACTTGAATGTTTCTGACCTCCTAAGACGGATAATATTGGGTGCAACTATTTCACCATTTTCGGAGGCAAACGGATGAAAAAATATTCGGTATACACTGAAATAGTGTACGTGTGTTTTGAATCAACTTAACACTTCACAGAAACCTTTGCTGCCAACTAGTGTTTTGGAGGTGTAACTGCAGAGTGACACAGACACACCACCACACACGTATAAATGCTCACAACGGCGTAGGCTATGTGCGAAGGGTGAATCCCTCTTAACAAGAGCCCACATTGGCCAACGCAGTTGCTACGTCAGAAAGGGGCGGGTATGTTGACACGAACTAATGGCATGGATGCTTTAATGTTCTAAACATCTTGAGACGTCAGTAATGTTCCTGTTAACAGTAAATGTGTAAAGATGTTACATATTTACCTGTTAAGACGAATGAATTTTACTGATCAATACGAACATCATATGGCTTTTATATATATATACATATATGCCACACTAGAGGCTGATGCTGTTGTGTTACATGTCACGGCTCTTTTGCTTCCACGATGTCGGCACACTGTTTAATATCATACACTAGACCAGCGTGATGCCACCGTCGTTTGGTTCTGTGTCAAAATGCAAAGGCGGCATTAAGAAGTGACTTCACAGCAGCTCTGTAGCGCCACCTCTGTGTAAGAGGTGTTACTGTCTCCTGAAACACTTGAGACTTGAAAGCAAAAACTTTTAAATGCCGTTTTACAAACATTAGCAGATCATTTCTGTATAATAAAACAATAATGGTCCCAAACTTGACCCTTGAGGAACACCAGATTTCTGAAACCACACTGGTGAGGAAAGGTTTTCTTTAGTGTGTGTGTGTGTGTGTGTGTGTGTGTGTTTGGCAGGGGGTGTGTATGGGAGTGTCGGTCAGCAGGTCGTCCTCTTAGCTCCTCTTTGATGTGTCTCTGTTGTTGCCCGGCAACCTGCTGAGCTCTCATTTGTAGCCAGTAGGTCAGAAACGCCCTCTGCCAATTAAACCGAGCCTCCGGGTTGCCGTAGTAGTTAACCAAAAACCTGAGCGGCGGCGGCGGGCAGCAGGTCGGAGGATTACTGACCCTCTGTAGCCTCGAGTTTCAGCAGCCAGCTGGTTCCATTTAGTCTCTGCTGAGGTGCCTTTGAGCCAGGCACAGAGGCTCTGACTGCTCCAGAGACACAGCAGACTGGTCAGACTGGGCTGCTCCCAGCACAGCAACACTGTGTGTGTGTGTGTGTGTCTGTGTGTGTGTGTAGTATATATTTGTTGTGCATATTCATACATCATGGCTTTTCCTTTAGCACCACGTCAAGCTGTATTCAAAGTTTTAACACTAATAAGGATGTAAAAATAAAGTCTTAGAAATAAAGATAACATTAAAGGGCCACACAGCAGCTGAATTTAAGGATTGTTCAGGGCCACTGATTATGAAAAGTACAACTTTTCAAGTTCTTTTCAGCCCAGTCGCCAGAAGAAATTCTTGGCATTATACGTTTCTTCATACGATTATGTTACATTTGTATGATTCATATGTGTCATGTCAGCATTTCCAAAGTGACGCAGTATACGGGCTGTGAGATGTCAGAGCACTATTTGAGACCAACAAACAACAAAACTAGTTGTGATTTAGCGACTTATTGCTGTGTTTCCTGAAGCTTTTCAGCCCTCAAACGTGGGTGTGTTGTTGTGATCCATCG